TTTTTTTCTTCTGAGCATTTTATTACAATAATAACATAAAACAGAATCATATTCTCTCTTCTGTAATAAATGAGTAGCTCGAACACTCATAGATTTAACTTGAACTCAAACTAATTTAAATGATAAAGCTCAAGCTCCAGCCCGGGATATAGCAAGTTCAACTCAACCAAATTTTAAGTTTTATCTTGTAGAAGAAATAAATTTAGGTGATGAGCGTGTATGTCACCTTTCTAGAGTCTCCCCAAAGATGAGATGTTGAGATGTTCCCAATGTCATCCCTATAATAAATAGAATGGGCTCGTGGTGGCAACCTAGCAATGAGTTGTCTAAGCGATGATCTCCCTCCCATATATGATCTAGATTGGTAATCAAGCCTATATAGAAAATGCATGTTAAAACAGCTAGTTTTAGTTTGGTTAGCACGATAGAAAATGAAAATTAAAAAGTAGATGAGATTAACCTAGAAAAGCCCCCTTTGTTAGTGGCCCCTTTGTGGGCAAGGTTGTAGTGTTCAGTTACCTGTATGCTACCCCAGTGAGAAATCTCTATCTCCCTCACTAATTCTTGAGCAACCACAAATGGATTATTGTTTTCAAAATGAATAACTATGGCCGAGTAAGAGAAAGGAGGAAGTTTCTCATAAGGTCCATATTTAATTTCAGAGTCTACAAGTTTTCCATTGGGATGTTTAGTATATGATTCCACCCGTCCACCAGGTAGCAGAACATTAAGCGACTGAGACTTCACCACATAGGGTGATAAAAAGTAGGCACTATCCTGATAAACAACAAGCTGGGCATCCGCTTGACTGATTTCCTCAGGGAATGGCTGCAGGGAATGAGTAAATATGGTAAGAACATTTACAGAGAGGCTTTTCCCTTTCTCCAGACCCTCAGTTAATGACAGGGTGTGGAAGGTCAATTCATGGGGCATCCCCTCTGGGTAAACCTCCGAAACTGGAAGGTTAATGGCAGAACCTTTTCCTTTTCCTTCATTGTAAAATGCTTTCAAATTTGCCAAATTCTTTGCCTGCATATTAGGAATTGCCAGCAAAATCTCTGAGACAACATTGCGTCCAGCATTCTCAACCTAAAAATATAAAAGATAAAATAACTGTTAGTGAATAAATGTCATTTAATAAAAATATGGAAGAAAAAAAACTTTTAGTGACCTAATGGCATTTAAGGAGCAATGTTTATGCACATCTGAGATATATATAACGCAAACTCAAGTCAAAGCCTTACAAAAATAAAATATTAACACTATTAAATAGCACACTTATGTTGGACAGATGCATGCAATGTTTAATGGATTCAACTCTTGTTTCAGGTTAATTTTGGCCAAAAAAAAAAGAAAAAAATAATCATTAGCCCTCTCCCAACTAGTTTGGTTAGTTTGATAAATTCTCATTCTCCATTCATTCTTGTTTAATATTGTTTGAGTTGCAAATCTAACTAGAAACAATCTTTTTGCACAAATTCCGTCCAAGTTATCACTCATCCAAATTATTTTGATTTCTAATCGAACACTAGTTTTATCTACCCATTTATAGGTGCATCTTATAACATTCGTTGTACATACCCAAACCTCTTAATTTTAATTCCCACTATTTTATCTTCAATCATGCTACTCATATCATCCCTTTCAAAAAAAAAAGCAACCTGATTTTACTTTTGTTTAAAATGCAAAACCAAATGAACGGATTTGTTCTGGGACTAATCCAAACTTCACTGATAAAAGTAGGATTAGAACGGTCTGTTCTCAGGTCAACCCTCTTGATTCAGAAACCTAAAACTTTACTGCACTACAATACAGGATCTTACATTTTTTTAATGTTTTTTGTAAGAGATTCCATCAAGTAAATAATGTATGAATTATGTATAAGTACAGTGTATATCAATCACAACAAGTGTGTTAGTTAAAGCAGATTACTAACACCTGGTACAAACAAAAAATTAAGAAGTAATTGTTTATTTAGTATTGACCAATTCATGCTTGAACGCCTGACCCTGATTACTAACACCTGGTACAAACAAAAAATTAAGAATTAATTGTTTATTTAGTATTGACCAATTCATGCTCGAATGCCTGACCCTTGAACCCTTTTGAACCTTAAGACAATCAGCACCTGGCGACCTTAAGTCTAGTGACTTTTTGTATACAAATATAAGTATAACTTTAATATTTATGTTCTCTTCTCAATAAAACCTGCATATAAAAACAAATAGATTATCGAATCATTGGTCAGCTAAATTTAAGTTTGTGTGTCATCGAACTGTCGCCTAACCAGGTTTAAGAACCACATAATGCCATCAATTTTGGGCCCAGCTGAGACTTACGACTTCTGTACATCCTTAGTACAAACAATAAGTGTGATTTTTTTGTCACTGATTATGCACAACAAAAGTTTGATAGTGACTCTTGTATCATTATCAAGAGTTGATAAGAATTGGGGAGAATTCACTGTGGGTTCATATCATTATTTGCGTTTAATTTATATAAATCTAGAAGAATCTCTAGCAAAAAAATATACAAAATTTTGGAACTGAAAATAAACTACAAAATGAATTTAATTGGATAAATCATGGATTAGTGAGGTGCCAATTTTTTAGAATCGGAACAGACCATACTAGTAGGTTCAACCAGTTCGGCCGTAAATCGAGCATATTGTCGGGCCGGTTAACATCCAATAACTATTTGCACATCAAATCGATGAAAACATATGTGAAACACCGGTTCGCCTCACGGACCGATTCTGATTATATTGAACAGACCAATCCAAATTACATATTTAATCACCTTTAATTTTCAATACTCTAGGTAAAATTTTCCTACAAAAAATTAAGCAGCAATTCCATACATAGCACACACTTTATGTATTTACCAGTCTCACACTTAAACTTTCATATTTACACACATAACATTCAAATCTTTAATATCACATGAAAAATAGTACCATTACCACTTTTTAAAAGTGAAATACACATTTGCATGCATAAGTTTTAAGCACCAAGGTGCTATGCATATAAATATATGAGTTTAGCGTGAGACACGTAAATACATAAGAATTGTGTGCTGCAAATGTAAATTTCTCAAAGATTAAATCTATAATTTATGTTAAGTTAAACATATAATCATAGATTTAAAAAACCTTAATCTGATTAATATGAACTTGATCAAGCTAATCCATGGTATGCCCAACACCTAAGTTATAAACTAAAATTGCAAACCTCTTTTTTCACATGTACAATGCAAAACTACCTCTCAACCACGATTAACAACTAAAAAATAAAACTTAAAAACTGATTAGAGTTGGACTACAAAAGTGAAAAATTAGGCTGATATTTGGGTATTTAAAATATTAAATGGGCTACTTAAGTAGAAATATTATAAAAATATTTTAATTTTTAAATTCTTTTACATCATAAACTTAATATTCTTATTAATTATTTTACATTAAATTCTTAATACAAACTACATTCTTATTATAAATTATATTTATATTTATATCTATATTATAATTTTGTATTTTAAAAATATTTAGTATCTTTAAAATATTTATATCTATATAGATATAAATAATACACATATAATTATATCATAAAAAGCTTTACATCAAGTTTTAAATTTGCAATTACTAAAAATATTACTTTTGTACCAGTTTTATTAATTTTTCACATTTATAACAAGTTTACATTATTGAATCATTTAAATTATATTAAAATAATTTAAATATTTATTATATCATCCAGTTTAAGCCTAGACCTTTCTTTCTTATGGTTCAAAGGACAACCCAATCTTTCCAAACTTGGCAGCAACAAAGATCCCAGGAATTAATAAGGTTGCAATAGCAAGCAAGAAAGACAGAAAAATATAGTGGGATGGTTGGAAAGATTTGGCAATGAGTGAGGAGAGGCAGATTATTGGCTCTGTTTGGTAAGGTGCTGGAGTGTCATTGGATGTGCCAATTCACACAGCTAGAGCCAAGGCTTGAGTTAGGCCATAGGCTATAGACACAAACAAGCATTAAGTTTAGTTTATATATATAAACTGGAAAGTATATGCAAATATATATAATTGTGAAAACCTGAAAGATAACAGAAGCAAAATATTAATAACAGCTCAAAGCATGGAAATTTTATCTTTTAATTCTAATAGAAGCACTCATAAGTCACTTCGAGCTCACCAAAACTAGATATAGCATAGTATCGACTAAAAAATAAACAAATACTCATAATCCAACCAGACCCGAGAAGTCATGCTCGATAAAATCCAATAGATCAACCTCAATGATGCAAAAGTTATCCCACAACCTGTAAAGGCAATCTAACACATGCATAGATTATATTCCAAATTAAAGGAAAGTGACCCCTCAAATCATGAAAATCAAAATTATCCCTTTCAGGATGAAAAATATAGTCATTCACAAATTAGACATAAAAAAGCCACCAAGGAAACTATGCTAATACACTTGCATACCTCTCAATCAGCTATCACTTCTATTATCTGCTCTTAGAGGCTACCTAAGAAGCTTAAGAAAAATCCTCTATGCACTAGGCTTTAACCATTTTGTAGCACTTAAAATTAACTTAAAGATTAATTAAAGTTTAATTTTAAATTATA